AACTAGAAAATAGAAGTTAAAAGAATTTTTTTTCATTTAATCTTAATTTATTTTAATTTCAGAATAATTAGATCCAGAGACGGAACTAAAATATAATCGTAAAAATAAATCTTCACTTACGAATCATCAATACCTCTAATAAACTTAAAAGTAAATTACTTTATGCATTAGGGATGAACTTTTTCTCTTCACAAAGGAGATTCTAATATTATCATAAGTTATATTTAAATTTTAGGGTAAAATATACAAACGATCCCCGACTATAGGGTGTTGAGTCCCTTGACTATCAAAAGTTACAAATGGTCTTTCGATTATAGTATGTTATTTTTTTAGTCACTCAACTATTAAAAATTACAAAATAATCACTCAACTATTCACTATGTAATGTTCGTGCTTTTTTTTTACCGATGAGTTTCTGTAGGGATCTTGAAGCTATTGTGGCAAAGTATTGGTGGCAACATTCGACTACCAGAAAGGGAATTCACTCGTGCACTTGGAACGAGCTCTGTAAACTGAAAGAAGGAGGAATGGGCTTTAGAGACTTTGGCAAATTCAACATTGCCCTCCGGGTTAGCGCAGGTTGCTTCGTTCTAAGTACTTTCGAAGCATAACATTCCTCAAATCTTCCCTCGACTCAAACCCTTCACTAATATGGAGAAGTATCTGGAGCTCTGAAGGCCTTCTTGATAAGGCTTGATTGAATACAATTAAATAGTTAAGTGGTCTGATTGACAAATTGAAATATTGGTGGTAAAAATAAAAGGACTAAATAGTTAAATGGTCAATAGTATAATTTACCCTATAAATTACTTTGGAGTATTCCCTCCCCTTAAAATTTTGTTGTGGAAGTTTACTCTTAATTTTATATTATGTACATATTTCAATATAATCATAATATATATATATATATATATATATATATATAATTAACTTTCCAAACAAATAATATATAATATTAACACCTAATACAAATGTTTAATTATTATATACATAATGAACTAAGAAAACGAAAAATAAAAACACCATTAAATATAAAGATAAAAGGGCAACTTTTGCCATCATAGCATATCTAATTCATAAACGAAAAAAAAACACCATTAAATATAAAGATAAAAGGGCAACTTTTGCCATCATAGCATATCTAATTCATCACATTCGTCCCTATCGTATTTTCGCATCAATTTAACCATTCGAAGTTGTTTAGTTGTATCATTCTACACCCTACCCTTAACTTAAAACCCTAAACACCAAGCTATAACCCATAAACTCTAACCCCTGACTTAGGGTTTATAATTTAAGAGGCATTTGGGTGGGGGGATGTGGGATTCCCATGGGAATGGAATCCACATTCCCCCGTTTGGTTAGCCTGAGAATCTCATTCCCGGTAATGTAAAATTACCAATAGTGGATTTTTTGGGGTATATTATCGGGAATGTCATTACCTCCCTTTCCTTAGGTATTGTTGGATTACCGGCGTTTTGGACTAAAATATCCTTAAATTTTTTTTTCTTCAAAAATATCCTTCTTCTTTCATTGAATAATAAAAATTCTACGAAGGTTAAATTACAAATTTATCCTTAAACTATTTTAGATTTACAAAAAAAAGTCTATAATTAAAATTTTATATAAAGTTTAGGGATTAAAATAAAATTTTACCATTTCATTAAACCTTTTTATATTTTCAATTTTGTAAAAAAAATATAAATTTTATGAATTTAATTTTTTAAAGAAAATATAAAAATATTTTGCAACTTTTTAAAAAACAAATATATAATAAGGACAATTTGGTCAAATATATATTCCAATAATCTTTTATTCCTTTAATCAAACACGATAATCTTACATTCATGTTAAACCAACCAAACACAAAACACAACATTCCAGTAATCCTATTCTCTGGTAATCTTACATTCCCACTGGTAATTAACAAATGAAAGAAGAAGGATAAATTAATGTAAAAATACAATGTCTACACATATCGAATATGTTTCATCCTGTCTTAGCAAAAGCGAAAGTAAATAAAATTAAAATTAAAAATAAAATAAAAATTTTGAGACTCGGACAAAATATAATGTCTACACATATCGAATATTTTTCATCCTAAGTCCGAATATAATCCGATCTAATACTTTGAAATTTCAACTCAAATTCAATTTTATTTTGTTATCACTTTGATAAATAGAGGCTAAAGTGAGAGTTTTCTTTTATAGTGGCAAATGAAGGTATTAAACCCCCAGTAATCTGATACAGGTATGTACAAGTTCCCTGTTGAACAGTTCCAATATATTGAACATGAAATAAATAATATTGCTTAGTATTCCCAAATCATTTTTTTTATTGTAAAAAATCGAGACGGAATTCACGTCAAAAGCTCAAACAGATTATTTGTGGAAATAGAAACAAGGGTAAACTACGTATTTAGTTCCTAAACTATTAATTTTAATCCATTTTAGTACTTAAAGTTTTAAAATTTTCAAAACCATTTCTAATATTTAATTTTTGTTTCATTTTAGTATCTACCATAAAAAATATAGCGCATTTTGTACTTAAACTATTAGTTTAGGTATGCTTTTGTACCCAAACTTCAATTTTTTCAAAACCATACTTAAAGTTTGTTATTTGTTTCATTTTAACACCCTTTCAAAATTTAACGTTAGATTTTTTTTAAAATGGAAGTTTAGATATTAAAACGGACCAAAATTAATAATTTATGTATTAAATTCGTAATTCACCCTAGGAAAATTCGTAGATTTTCAAAACGCAGCTAAATAGATATTTTATTTAGAATAGTAACACGATATTACTACAATACATAACCCCTTTCCCACATAAGAAGGTGCATTATTTTGCAACAAAAGGAAGTAAAAAAAGCCAACAAGTACACGAATAAACCATCTATTTAGCTGGCTCGGTTGGTCCGGTTACTCAACATCATTTCATGGCCTTACTGACGCAGATATACTTAGGAGGATAAGTCAGAGTATTAACACACATGCCACTGCAGCATTCAATAGTGGGAGAGCAGTCTTCCCCCAAGGGTGCACAGTTTTCAGCTGATTTCATCACCGAGAAAATATCGGCGAAAGGGTTCCGGATGTTGGCTCCGGTGATGGCGGAGAAGGGCGTAACCCTGTAACGAGCGGCCATCACCGTCGGAGCCATTGCAGCCAATAGCACCATTGCCACTGCAAGCGAAAGCAAAGCAAACTTCCTGCACTCCATTTCTTACGACTAGTTTAGTTCTTGTAGCGTAGAGTAGATATGAATCCATGGTGTTACCCAATACTCCTTTTTATAGTCAAGGTGGTGGTCCAAAATCTGAGAATTCATACGAAACATGTGCCTATTAATTAATAATAATTCCATAGGGAGTAGGGACCAATGTCTATATTTAAGTAAAAAAAGTTTACCACCTATGACTTTGATGTATATATCTCTTTCAATTTGAAGCCAACTGTGTGTATATATCAGCGGCCCATATCAAGTATGAGAAAAGAGTGTTATTGTATGTTTTGATTTTTTTTTTTTAAAAAAAATTGTTATTAGGGCAAATTACTCTGAATAAAAACTAATATTTACGACTTGTATTGATTTTATCATTAAACTTTAAAACGTTTCGCTTGTAGCACTTAACTTTGATTTTAGCTTCAATATAAGCATTGGGATGTTAACCCATTAATAGTCGGATCACATGATAGTTTAATTCTATTGTGTGCTGATACGAAAGGCAAACGTTTAATTTTTTTTTTTATTTCAAACCATCTTCTTCTTGATCAAAGTTATGGTTTTTTCCGTCCATTTTCAATTGTTTATGAAAATTGTCATTCCTTGATGTCTTTTGCTATCACCTTAAACTATGGTAAACTCGTCTCATCATCTTCTATTAGTTTACCGGTTTAGATTTTTTCGAAAAACTTTTTAAAACTCATGTGATTAATCACAAATCCACCATTTTTAGGGTTTAGGAGTTTTATCGAGTTTGAGGGATTTTGGTGTTTGTTCGAAAATCTGAACAATGAGAAGTATATGCCAAGAAGACTGACAATATACATCAAAATTAGTCTCATCAGACGATTGGAGGAGATTAGAGTATTAAAACGTTGAAATTCTAGATGGATTTTCGTTGATTTTTGAGTGAGTTTCTTAAAAAGCCAGTTCGAGGAGAAGATGAATGAAATACAAATATTTTGATACACAAATTAGAAAGTCAGTTCAAGGAATGACGATAAGCAACTAATGTTGATTGAGCAACAATGACAATCGAAGGAATTGACGATTGTCCTCAGAGTCTAAAATGATACACAAACTAGAGTTCAATGCCTAAAAATGAAATATCTTAAAGTTTTGTAACAAAATTGATATAAAAAACTAAAGTTCACGTGAAAGAACAACAACATTGTCACACCGCTGATGATTTAGTGACCTAATGCTTACATTAAACCCAAAACCAAAGGTTAGTGCCAAATCCGAAGCGATTTAAAGGTTGGGATAAGACCAATATAATATTTTTGTATTTTTTAATAAAATATAGTATTACTAATTGAGTCTTAGTTCAATTATCATCATTGTTATCATAATACTTTGAAGGTTATATGTTTACATATGTTCAAACGCACATATGATTGTACTATCATATACTGTCTAAGATTTTGTCTCGTTACTCTAGTAGGTTCCGAAAAGCACCTCAGAAGGGAGGGAATGGTTTGAAGATCGTGTCGGGCGTAGAGCGCTTACCATGACTTACCTCCCGGTACTGAGGTGTTGCGCAATGACCCGATTAAGATGTCTACACCTTACATGATCGTCGGACCATGCCCTTCCCTACAAGGTTCTCCCCGAGACCCGTCATAAGGTAGGGAGATAAAATCCCGAGCATTCCACGACAGTACCGACTGTGCAATCAGGAGAACCCACCAACGGTTAGTATCCGACTTATACAAGTATGTGTTCGGTACAGGTATCGTGCACAATATCGGACAATAGTAAAGATGAAGTTTATCAGTGGCATTAAGAAAATAATGATGGGAGACAAAGTAGTAGAAAATTTCAAAGATCTTTTATTGCTGACAAATGCCATTCGTGTTCATTCTCAACAAACAATTCCAAATGTTTCAGTAAATATGGACTAAACATCACTTCGTGAGATTTCTAGTTCGATGGCAAAGGAAATCTACTGAAAACGAAAAAACCGAGACAGCACACCAACCAACAACTTAGGCAGCTGCAGTGATGTATTCGATTGCCTGCTGGCAAATACCGGTCATCATCGCTTCCGGACCGTAAACCTACGAGAGCATCACCGAATAAACAAATCAGCAGGTGTTTTTAGTTTGGAAAATGATTTAGACCGATAATCATTTGCGTCTTGTGGTTTATAAGTTATAAATCATAGGAATACCTCAATAGGGATTCCGATTTCCACTCCGAGTTCCCGCATTTTCGCAAGGCCCCTCTGGTAATTGGGACCTCCTCTCCTCACATATATCTGCATCCGCGCGGCTTTGAGCTTTGATTCCTATATAAATTTGCATATCCAGTTAGTATTAACATATAAAGATGGACAACAAGTGAAGCAATACACCACTATAGTAAAGTTCACCTTCTCCTTCAAGGCTCGGATTATGCCGTTAAATGTAGCACCCACGTCAGTGAAGTTAGCTATTCCTCCACCAATTACAAGGGCTCTTTTTCGACCATCAGGGTCTGCGGTTGCACACTATCGAGGAACAATGAAATTATTTGTACAACACAAAAAAAATGCCCATGATGCTTATGACTGCATAGTAAGCTTTATATCTGTAATTACTTGAAAAATATTTCATGGTGTCTTCGAAAATGTTCGAGACAGCGTTAGTCTGTCAAGTAAAAGATCTAGGTTTCTACTTCAGCAACATTATAAATTTATAATATAAATTAAGGGCCAGAGTCCTTACATCAATTACTACTCTGGCATATTGCAATACTTCCTCTTCGTTTGGTGCTCCACCGTATTCTGCATAGTTTCCGAGCTCAGAAGCAAAACCAAGATCTCCGACCTGATTAAACAATGAATTACATGGGTAAATTAAATGCATGACTGATACTCTAAAATTACAGGGTTTAATCCTATCCCTAAAACCGGAGAGAAAAAAAACGAAGATAACCAACTGTATCGGCGTAGATGACACTTGCACCTCCTCCAGCTACCATTGTCCAAATGCGTCCCTTAGGGTTCAACACCGTAAATTTTAAAGACGCACTTGTCTGCAATATAAATATATTTTTTAATCAATTCCATACTTCTGGGTGAAACAATTAGACAACTGCAACGTATATTAGACCACTTTTATCGGAATAACTGGACAGTAAATTCATATACAGCCCAAGTTTTGACTCCAACTGGGTGATTAACAAGTAAAACAAGAATTTGCATACAAGGCCAACTATCTATTAAATCCAATTTACCTTCTCATCTAGCCCATGAATATAGCTTTCAGTTGCACTCATAACTCTTCCAAAAGGCAGTGGAAATTCAATATTACCCCACCTACAAAGAAATGAAATTGCATCAGTTCAATTTTATCCCCTATTCCACGCTGCATTTAAACAATAAATAGAGAAAACTACTGATAAAAGGGGATATACTTCTTGAAGTTCTTGAAAGCAGCAGTGTCATCCAGTTCGCCTCTCATGTCCAAAGGATAAGGCTTTCCAACAACCAGCGTGAAAGGATTCATCTCAAGGAAAGTGAAGTCCAGATCTGACATTTTCAGAGTTGAAAAAGTCAATTACAACTTCCAAATGTTAGTTTGAATAGTTTTAGATGAAAGCAAGATATATATCATACCTTGAAACAGAGTAAAAATCACTTTGATGAACTCTTCAATTTCTCCTTTGATCTATAATAAAAGTACATATATTTAGTTTAAAATTCACAGAGCATTTCGCAGAATGCATACATTGGAAAATCTATCCAACGACGTTTTCCATTGAAAGGCGAAGGAATATGCTCAAGTTAAGCAAAGGAAAATTTAAAGCAGAACTACAGGGAATAGAGAACTAGTGGAAGTACAATCAAGAAGCAAAGACAGCTCAGAAAATCATTGATTATTAGGAAAATCACCTCCAAGGGAAGGGTTGCAACAAGTGGAGCACAAGCTTCTGATGTGAAAGGTGACCCAGTTGGGACAAAGATGGTCTTAACCTGTATGAAGGATAAACAATCTTAGCTAAGAAACTATCAAGGGAAAAACACAAGAAGAAAAACAAAATGTAAACAGAGAAATGGTTTCAGATAATTTCAAAGTGCCTTATCCCAATTCTCTTCAATTTCAATCCCTCCACACTCTGAAAAGCTAACGCTGCAACCAAGTCGCTCAGAGACAATGTTAAGGTAGAACTCTTCATTGTGAGGGATGAAAGGTTCAACAATGAATGTTGTAACAGGCCCCTTGCATCCACCCATTTCTACCTGTAAGTCACGTGCAGTTGACATGAAGTCCAACCCTCAACCTTAATAATGATAAATTAAAGGCTAAAAACCAAAAAACAGAGGGTGAACCTCTTTTCCGAGGCGCTCTTTCACAAAAGCAATAACTTGAGTAAAATCCAGATTTAAGCCAACCAAACCACTCTTCCCACGCTTTCCAAACAGCATATCAGGTTTAACAACCAGTTTCTGCGACGAAAGCCATGGCTCCTTCTCTATTAGCTGGTTGAAATCGGTTGATTCCGTAATCTAAAATCAACAGGCACAACCAAACAAATTACACAAAGTTGAATGAATCAAGGAAGATCAACATCTTAAATTCGTAAAACCAGCAGCACAACCAGATAAATCACTCTTCAATTTCATACAATAATAATAAATCAAGGAATCCAGGAAGATAGATAAACATCCTAAATTCATATTCAAATTTCAAAACTACCTGATCTAGGAAGAATTTTATTTTCCCAAAACTAAGAGTAATTAAAGCAACCGAATCTTCCTAGCTTTATCCTAGATCCGGAAATTCAAAAGGCGAACAATATTTTTCTAGGATTTGCCTTAAAATAATAAGAAACAATAATACAAATCAAACTAAAAATAAAGGAACTGCTGATAAACTTCGAAATGAATAGAGAGATCTAGAACGAATGAGAAATTGAACTAAAAATCAATTCAAATTAATCAACTAAGAAACGCTAATACACTTATACGAATAGAGCTAAATAAAAATCGAAATATCGATGAACTTTAAAATGAATAGCGAGATCTAGAAGGAGAAATTTGAACTGACTTGAGCGAATTTGATTGGCAAATCTTTCCCGGAAAGCCTCTTGAAATGTTCTTTCAACAATCTCTTGGAATCGAACTCTCTGATCTTCTTGCGTGCCATTTCGCGTTTTTTCTTTTCCTCTTGAAAAATCTGAACCTAATCAAAAACTTTGAAATCAAATCAATTTAGATGTAAACAAAATGTAACGAAAATGTAGGGAGAAAAGGAAAGAAAAATGGAGAAAGTGCCGTTGAATAACAAGCGAAGCGGATGGTTGTCCAAACTAGAGAGCAGCTTGGGAGGTAGTTGGTGGTTTGGTGTATTTCTAGTTGCGAATTTGATTTTTTTTTTTTGTATTTATTGTTTAGGTAAATTACTATATTAGTACCTAAACTATCAGATTTTTTCTTTTTAGACCTAAACTTTCAATTTTTTAAGATAACACTTAAAATTTAGTTTTTATTTCATTTTAATACCCTCAATATACGTAGCGCTCAGACCCGAGATCTCAAGAGATAATAATAAATTCTTTAACTACTAACTTTATTAAATTATTATAAAATAATCATTAAATTTTCTCTCATGTTTATAAAATCGGATAAATCTAATCTTTAACAACTTTTCGTTGGAAAATTTTGGTGAAATATCTCTTTCGTATTGTTCTATGTTTGAGCTTGTAGTTGGTCCACGGTTGGTTGCATGCGGTCTTATAATAGTGATGATTAACAAATTTCAAGGTATTATTTGAAGGCAAGCATCCTTGGTGGGGGACTTCCTTTTTATGGTTGCAAAGTAAATTGGTGCAGCTTAAAAATGACTAATCAAAGTAATTATTAAAATAGTTAAATCAAGGGTAAAGTCCCGACTATAGGACACTATTTTATTGAATCCTCAAACTATTAAAAGTTACAAATCCTTTGACCATAAGACATTGTATTGTTGTCCCTCGACTATTAAAAGTTACAAAATGACCGCTCAACTATTCATATGTTTCAAGCTCGGCCTATTTCATTAAAAATTGACGATCGTCTGAGCTGAGCGTTAACATGTTGACCGATATATGATAATCGTTTGAGATTCTAGGATCATATTTTATTGTATCTCAATTAGTATATTAACGTAAATCTCAAATAGTCGTTAATTTTTTTAACAGAAAACAACTAGTTTGGAATATATGAATCGTCGTGTGATTATTTTATAACTTTTAAAAGTTGGGGACTCTACAAAACAATAACCTAGTCCAGGGACGATTTTCTAACTCTTAATAGTCGTTGACTTAACAAAGCAGCGCCTTATATTCGGGACACCATTTGTATAAGAGAGAGAGTTTTCTCATTTGAGACTCAAACTTGCTTCCGGTGCATTACTTTCTTAATGTTTGATAAGATTTGTATGCTTTCTGCACGTTTTAACCTTTAGACATACATCTACACTTACAAAATAAAAGCTAACTCGTAACTTTTAACTGAAAGATCAATCGGCCATCATTTGAAGCGGCCGCCGCCGTAGTTCCCCGATCTGACACCGTCACTAAACGCACCGCTCTTTCTAAAGGGTTGAACTTCTGACTCGCCGCTCATGAACTCACCCGAGCTGTACTCGGATTTCCATGAAGTATGCCCATATGACAGCTCCCTGGAACTGAAATCTTCACTAAAATTGTCAAATTCGGAGCCATAGTCGCTGCCGAATGCGGTCCTCCTGAATATTGAAATTTCGTCACTGTATTTGCTGGAATCATAAGTGGTGCTTTGACCCACTTTCACCCCGTTCGACAAATCGGTCCCCTCAAAATCCAATGCTCTTACCACCTGTATGATGTTTGCGAGTGTTAGATATAAATATATAAAGTATATAAATGGTCCTCTGACTATAGGATATTGTTTTATTAAGTCTCCAACTATTAAAAGTTATAAAATTGGTCACTCGACTATTCATTGTGTTCCAAACTTGTCATTTTCAGTTAAAAATTTGACGGCAATTTGAGTTGTGTGTTAATCTACTGACTGAGATATGATAAAATCTAATCTCATAAACTCAAACGACTATCATGTCTCAGTCAACATTTTAACGTACAACTCAGATGTCCGTTATTTTTTAACGGAAAATGATGAGTTTGGAATATAATGAATAATCGAGTGACCATTTTGTAACTTTTAATAGTCGATGGACTCAACAAAGCAACTCCCTATGGTGGAAGAATCATTTTATAACTTTTAATAGTCAATTGGCTCAATAAAACAATATTCTATAATCGGGGGACCATTTGTGTACTTTACCCAAATATTTAAGATGTTTCTGAGTGTAGTTAGAGTGTTATATCTAAACTCAAACAAATCACTTGATTTTAGATTCAAACAATCTAGATCGGGTTAACTCGATTTTAAATTTTTTAGGCTAATTTCGACTTTACGTGGTTTCTTGTCCGGAGATCGATTATTTTGGATTCATGTTGTTTCAAATACAACTCAGTTAACTAACAATCAGTTGGTCTAGTGAGATGAGATATTAGATTCCTTAAGTAAGGTCAGAGGTTCAAATCTTAATGTTTACGAAATAAATTGGGTTAGGAGGGTCACCCTAGTCTCTACAATATTCGATATGGATTAATCGATCAATATATTAATTGGAGAATAGGAGCAAGTGGCAATAAGATAAAAGAAAGACAAAAGAGTTCGATAACATTACCAGTGACATGCGAGGCCGCTTTGCAGCGGCATGCCGCACACAAGCGGCAGCTGCCTCGATCATTGTTAATACTTCACTCTCTACGTAACGCTTTTCAAGTCGAGGATCAATTAGTTCACTGTAATCGCCATTTTCAAGGGTTTGGAGAAGTCGAGGCCTCGCCTGTCAAAATTATGACACAATATTTATCTGTTCAAGTACTACTTACAATCACGACGGACACAAAATTTTATGTTTAAGATCAACTCATAAAATTTTAAAGAAATACATACCCATTCGACCAAACTTTCATCTCCCAAAGGTCGAGCCGGATCAACGGGTTTGAGGCCGGTTATAAGTTCTAAAAGCACAACCCCGAAAGAGAATACATCGGACCTATCCGTCAACTTTCCGCTTGATGCATATTCCGGTGCTAAATACCTGAAAGACAAATGAAATAAGTAATTCATATAATATGAAATATGTATAAAATAATGGTACAAATCACTCAATTATTAGTAAGAAAACGAGTCACTTAGTTGTAAAAAGTTATAAAAGAATCACTCAATTAATCAATAATTTACGAACAAATTTAATGTCACGTTTGTAATTTAGTTCATTTTCAGCATGATTTAATTTTATTTTGACCCCTTCCAAAAAAAAACTATTTCATACCCGAATGTTCCCATAACTCGAGTTGAAACATGGGTTTGACTAGTGTCGTTAAGTCTTGCAAGTCCAAAATCTGCCACACGTGCTTCAAAATCATATTCCAACAGAATGTTGGCCGACTTAATGTCCCTGTGGATAATTCTTGGTTGACCTGAAAATAGATCACAATAAAGTATAGGGATTAAATATTGAACTTAAGCTTAATAGAGGGATTAAAGTTGTAATTTAACATCAAAAGAATGCATACAATCTTCATGTAAATATGCCAAACCCTTGGCAGCTCCGATAGCAATCTTGACTCTTTTGGACCATTCAAGAACCGGCATATCTTTACCTGTTGCATAATGATTTCCGGACATTACGATTAAATCGTAAAGTTTTCATTTCGAGGAGGTGCTTTGGCGAAATAAACCATTATATTACCATGCAAATGATGCTCAAGAGTCTTATTCCCAACGAAGTCATAGATGAGCAGCCTTTGATTCTCGGCAATGCAATACCCTACCAAAGACACCAAATGCCTATGATGAATACGGCTTATGATCTCGACTTCGGCCTTGAACTCTTGATCGCCTTGCCCGCTGCCGACTTTTAGTCGCTTGACGGCCACGAGGTTGCCGTCGGGCAATCGACCCTTGTAAACCCACCCGAACCCGCCTTCTCCGATGATGTTGTCATGAGTGAACCCGTCAGTCATTTCCATCAACTCTTCGTACCTGAAATGTGTCTTCGAACCGGCTCTAATACCCGACTCCGGACTATAGTACACCATAGGTGATCCTTTGCCAGGCGAATCTGCATAGCTAAGATAATTGTTAAATTAAACAGAAACAATTGAAGTAAAAGAATAAGAAAAGGATTAATTTCGTCAAGCATCCCTAAAGTAATTATTAGATTTGAAATTAATCTTTGAACAAAAAAAAACTAATTGAATTCTCAATGTCCATGACAAAAGTCAGAAATTTTATGTAGGGGTCAGGACAAAATTATAAAATTTTGAGGTACCAAAGCTATAAATTTATTTTAAATGGATCAAATTAATTTTTAGAAAGGTCAAATTTTTTGTATAATAGTATTTTAGATCCTTTAGGTTTAAATATTTTTCAAATAAATTTTCTCTCTCTCCTAATTTTAGATTTAAATACCTAATAAACTCTTTTAGTATAAAGCAAATTAGCTCCTCCCAATGTTTGATCCTAACTTCATTCATGACGTAAAACATATGTTTTTCGTCCCTGACGTAAGACATATATAAAACATGTGGACCAAACATTAAACATATTAAATGGACAATTTGAATTCAATGTACTAAAAAGAAAGAAATAACAAATTATCCATGCAATAGGTATACAAATGTTTTAAAATTTGATCTACGTTAGGCTTAAGAAAAGACCTAATATATGTAATGTAAATTTTTTTGACTGAAATAGAACTTTTTGAAGTTTAATTCAAATTGATGTAATTAAGACAAAGAAAAAAAAATAGGGGACTACATTTTTATTACCTGATTTCACTTCAATATTACCGGGTGGCGGCGTATAATTCCCAGTGAGAGCTTGTTGTTTCCTCTTTCTTCTCCTCTTCAGGAAAAAAAACAAGGCGATGAAGACGGCGGCGAATAACGCCCCAGCCACCGCCACATTGATCATAACTCCATACACAGAGTTCGTCACCGTCTTATTGGCTTGTGTTTCAGTCATAGAGCCTCCTCCTGAAGGTGAAGATGCACGACTTACATTAGAGGAGCTCTGTTGCGTGCTCGGCACTAGCGCAGGAGGAGAAGATCCCGGTGATGATTTAGTGGATGTATTTTTTGATGGAGGTGAAATTGTCCGTGATTTCAGGGTTTTGGAAGATGTCGGAGGTGGCGGAGTAGGTGTCGAAGACGGAGAAGAGGGCAGGGGAGGAGAAGAGCTGTCGGAAGGTGGTGGTGGTGTTGATTGTTGCTTAGGAGAAGGTGGTGGTGATGTTGGCGGTGATTCCTCTTGAGGAGGAGGTGGTGACGGTGACAATGGTGGTTCCTTCTTGGAAGGGCTCGGAGGTGGTGGTGATTGTTTCTTAGGAGGAGGTGGTGGCGAAGATGGTGGCAATTCTAATGGTGACTCGGTCGGAGGTAAACTCTTATTCGATGGCGGTGGTGGTGGTGAAGGTGACGGTGGTGATTGATCAGGAGACGGAGATGGATTTCTATTTGAAGAATCATCGGTGGAAGGTGATGAATTCGAACTCGAATCTGAATCAGAATTTGAATTTAGCGGTGGTGGTGGTGGTGACGAATTATTTTCTTTCGATTCGGATTTTGTATCATCTGATTGCGGAGGAGAAGAGCTTGACGTATCATTTTCAAGCTTCAACGACCCCTCCGACTTCAACATTTCTCCTCTCTTCCTCTACTCTATAATTCCATTATTCTTCTTCATCGTCTTTATATTCCAATTCCACAACATATGTTCTTCCACCAATAATAAACAAAAGAAAAATAAACAAAAGTAAAACAATATTCTATGATCAAACTAATGCCGGTCTAATGTAGAAAACAAAACTATGTTAACTCTATTTTCTCACATCAAATTATTGGGAATTTTGTTGCATGAAAACATTAAGCATATCAACAAAGAAAAAGGGAAAATATTTTTTTAAATACTATTAAAAATACAAATTAGGGTAGAGATGGTTGCAAAAACATTCGAAGATGAAAGAAAAAGGGTTAAATAAAGATACGCCAACAGGAGAAAATGTAGGAAATTAAGGAAAATATATTGTGAGATGTGATAATTATAGTTATTAGTTGTATCTTACAGCTGCTCTTTATGTTTTCTGAAATTCTTTCTCCTCTTGTTTCGGATTACCACATAAATTTTTTATTCTATTTTCATAAATATATATATACACACACACGACAATGTGTACAGTTTCTGTACATTTTAAAAAAACAGTACGGATCAATTTATCTCAATGGTTAAAAGAATTGTCCCCGTACGGAACCCATTTATGTAGATCATTATTCGGTTGTGGATAAATATTATGAGTGGTTCAACACGAATTGAAAATCGTTCCTACTTTCTGAGGAAGAATGAGGTGGGAGCATTCATTGATGTCGACAAATACGTCCACCGTCATAGCATCATCATCCCCCGACTCATGGACGGAGAGCATGCACTTCCGACTTGTCCTCAACTACGGCATCGAAACCATCATAGTAGCCACCGTCTACATCGGTGTATATTTTACAGCCGTTTTAGATGGCACTACAGGCATTTCAGATGCCACATTCGGGTTAGACGTCACTGCTTCCATATCATATGCCACCGCAACCGGGTCAGATGCCACTACCGAACGGTTTTATGACCCCTCCTGGCGGAAAATATTCTTCCATGCTTGTAGATCTAACATTGGATTCATATGTTGCTTATTTGGTAGGTGAAGGTTCATCGGATACACAGACACCTCTGGCGTAGTTTTTGCACTCATCGATGTCAGTGTTTTTGCAGTTTTCACAGTTTTTTATGAGCGGTGTGATAATCAACTATACACCTCTAGGGTCCTTATTCTATGGAGGTGCTACATCGTCATCCGTCTCTCATTAACAAAATGTAGTTGCTCTTGATTATGATGATGATGATGATAAAGTGAGGAGAAAGAACAAGTTATACGAATAATTCCTCATCGGCACAGATAGCCACCGCCCTGCAAAGCACATTCAAGACGCAGACATTGATAGAATTGTTTAGTATGTAATGTTTTTTTAATTTTTTTGTTTACCAGCAATTGTAAATTTTTTATTTAATTGTGTACTTTTTATTTATTTTGTTTTCTAATATTTTTATTATTTAATTGTTCAAATTGTATCGTCTATATTTAATGTTTTTATTTAGTTGTTTTTATTGTTTGAATTGTATCATTTTCTTGTATTTAGTTTGTAATATTTTTATTTAATTTTCACTTTAGTAGCCCATTACTTGGTGATGCTCAAATGACATTACTTGAAAATAAATGGAAATTATAAAACACAAACTTAGATTTCATAAGCAATAATTACATCGTCACAACATCAACGGTTACTTGATGACAAAAGATATAAACATTTCCCCCCCATTGTGTCCTAGGTTTCTACAATGCCCACATCTTTTGTTTTCTCTGGATGTCTCCCGATTATCCTTATCACAATGAATTCGAGAGAATTTTGGACGATCACACTCCCTTAATAAGGATGGATCTGGTACAATTAGAAGTCAATTTTAAACCTCATCAGGGTCTTTCTCATTACCTATGAGGGGAACTCAAATTCATATACCTAAATACTTCTGAAATTCGGTATATGGGATTCACAAAACGGTTATAGTCTTGAAGGGTATGAGAGCAAGCTACTGTGACATGGGAGCATGTATACTTCAGAGCTTGAAAAAACCCATAGTCACACCACCTATCTCGTAGATTAACTTTGAACGAGATAGTTTGAATCCCTTGAAGAGGTCGCAGTATCTCTATGACACGAAGTAATTCAAGGGTTATAGAGAAGATTATTACAGACATTCCATTTGATGCAACAATTCTTTTTGTAGATCTGCAACTAATCTTGAGTGATAGACATGACCATTTTGCATCCAACTTTGACCTTGTCCCCCGAACTTGGCAAAAAGTGCTCCCAAACAAAACTATGTCGTTTTAACCAAAGTTGTTACTGGTAAATGGAGTGCTCCCTTTAAGGTTGAATTAATAGCCCCAATCAAGTTGGTCGTCATGTGTCTATATCGATATCATCATCATATTCATTTGTCAATATTTATTTGTTGATGAGGTTGATGTAATTGTATCCTTGCTCGTTCTTTACTCGTAAATCTTGAAGTGTGAACTCAAATATTTCAGGTAATAGTTCGTAACCTGAGCGTCAAATGTAGAACTTACTGTTAAGTTTCCATAAAAAATGAAAATGATTGAGAAATAAAATTTAGCATTTTGACATACCCATGTACAAGTAATTGGCGTTCATCATTCTTCTTGAACTTTCCATGATAGTTAGCAACAATGTGTATGATATAGTACCGATGTTGGACATAGGGTGGTTGACACATTAGACCCCAAAAATCCATTGATGCTTTGATCTCAGCTTCGCGATATGAAATGACATAATTTTTTCCCTCGTGACAATATGTAAGCGTAAGTTTCTGAGGAAAAAGCCCAAAAATATGTATATTCTCTTTCAACAAGGGAAAAAACAACTGGATAAATGTTGCGATTACCATCTTGGACAATTTTCAATAGTAAAACTTGCTTATATTTTCCATACAAGAATGTCCCATCAATTTGGACCACATGCTTACAGTATTTCACAACATTAATGCACTATGGGTAAGTCCAAAAAAGCTAGTAAAATTAGCATCGTTTGTGAAGCACTCGATCATTGTGGCATGCATGACAAGTTTCAAAGTTGACAATTGTCCCAGGATTCAATTTACGCACTACCCTAAACCAACTTGGTAGTTTGTTGTAAGATGCATCCCACTCGCCGTGAAGTTTTTTAATGGCATTCTGCTTTGTCTTCCATGCTTTCTTGTATGAGATGGTGTACCCATATTACAACTGTATAGTTGAAATCAACACCTCAATAGCTATATGGGAGCTTTCTTTAACTATGGGCATGATGGCTTTGTAGATAATGTCAGAGTCCAAGTTGGGATGATCTTGGTTGATCCCTCCAATACAACATGTGTCAGGACTGTTGTATATTGTTAGTTCCCATATATTGTTTTTCCTCTTCCTCTTTGATACATGAACCATCCAGTTGCATCCGTGATCACGTTGGTCATAGTGGCATACATACTTTTCGGTGGTGGAACGGTTAACTCTAGACTAAATAGAATTACGAATGTTGTAATTCTTAATTGTCATCATCGCTTATTCTTGGATGAAATCTTCATTCCTTTATATAACTCACCATCATTGACTGAAGAGTTAAATCCTTAGTCACAAACATTAGACATATCAGTAAAATATGGCTCGTACATTGCACCATAGTCAGCTTCATACATATGTGTTGGAGGTTCGATGTGTACCGTATTTGTGAGAAATTCATCTACATCATCATCATCGGAATCCATGTTGAATTGTGGTGATTCTGGCTAAACGAATAATCTAGTCATAACACCATCCGCACCTGGCTCACGAAGATGTTCTTTTAGTAGAGATTAGGGTTCTTCCACGATGTTGACATTAGTTCGAACAAGCTGTTAGTTAAATGTCTTCCCTTGAACTTGAGGGCATCTCAACATTGAGTTCGAAGAAGCTTGCAGTTGAATGTCTCCCCTAGAACTTGAAGGTATCATGTCAAATGGGTACTGCACAGATTGTTGTGTCGAGGGTATCTCTATATTCAGGTCAAAGAAATTGGCAGATGAATGTCTTTCCCTTAATCTAGAAGATATGTTACCATACATATTGTTTATGGAGCCATCTCAGTATAGATCGTAACAAGTTTCTGATGAATGTCTCCCCATTGAACATGAGATGACACCATGATGTGGATTTCCCATTAACGAGTTAAAATCATTACACATTATTTGAGTTGAGTTGTTAACTTGATCAGCTTGTTGAGCCAGCCCATAGTGGAAGCATAATGACATACCACGAACCGCAGACACTTCAACAAATGTCGTATACATCTGTGTATCAATGTCTGAATATTGATTCTGAGAATCAACCATCATAGTAACATCGTCGTCGTTGGAGAGTTCGAACGTTGTATAAGTTAACAGAAATATTACGGTTGGAAATCTGTACTGAAGTGAGGATAGTCTTCTAATACTTCCAACATGAACCTTCCCTAAAATTTTAGTGATCAGTTCCTTAAGAGTGATGTTTCTCTTGAAGGATATTCTGACAGAATGATTTGATGCGAAGACAATGTCGGTTTCACCTTCTCGAATTTCTCTATCATAGTAAACAATAGTTGACATAAGCGTCATTTAGAGAGTTTAAAATATTGAGAGTCTTATATCTACAAAAATAATAACTGAAATACGTCTAATTAAATAAATAGTATACGAATTAAAATATAAAATAATATAAAAATTTTAAAAAATCAAAATAATTTAAATAACACAATTTCATATTGTTATCGTATCGGTAAAATGTCTCGAGGTATGATCACGCCTTCTAATTTTACAATCGCAAAAAATAATACAAAATAATTAGTATAATAAAATTTGTTCGAATAATAAAATATAAAATAAATATAATATAATGAAAAATAGTCTTACCTTATTTCAAAAATAACAAAATCTACTTAGCTTGATAGAAGAAATTGATAGAAGTGAGAATACGCAAGTAATTTTGGTGTGGTGATGCTTGCATTCAGAGGGGTTATTTATAGGGGAGGGTGTTGTTAAAAAGTTGAGTTTTCAGGCTCGGATAATAATGGAGTAACGAATAATTCAACGTGCATAATGGAAGGCACGGATCCGTAAGTGTCAAAAGTTCAGTGAAGGTGCAGATGGCCATCCGTGCATTTTCTTACATGACGCCAGCTCGGACAGAACCCTGCGAAGGCACGACTGACGATCCGCGCGTTATTGCCACCGTGTTAGAAAGGGTGCTAGGTAATATTAGGGGAGAGGGTGTCTGACAGATAATTATTGGGTCAAAGGGTGATTTTTCGGTAGAAACGCCTAATTATAAGGGAGTATTTGTTTTTAATTTTTTTTAATTATTGACAACATTTACACACTCATACATACACAACTATTTGAATTCAAAACCGTAAAGAAAACACCATTCTCTTTAATCACCGAAACTACACAATAAAATTTTCGTATTGATATTTGCATGAAAAACATGGGTTTCAAATTTGTTTTGTTGATTAGGCCGATTGGGTCATATATTTTACTAATAAATCATGTGGGCTAGTGGTCAATATAATAGGCCCAAATATTTAATTCCAATTTAGAAGTCAACCAACGACTAAGCCCCACTTAAATAGAGGTCAACCACTTTAATATCCCTCACCGTTTCGAAACGAGAAAAGTAGGGACATAACTATCATTTTGATAAAAATAACTGCCACTGAATCTTCAGCTCATCACTCTTATTATAATTTCTTCACAACCGATACCTCTTACTTCCCTCGCTGCTCACCATTTCTGATTCCCCAACTCGCTCTCCTGTAGTTCACCATGAACTCGACTATCCCAGAGCAATTTGAACTCTTCGAACTCTACCACTCTTGCGACTGGTCCAATGCAATATGAGTTACATTCTTTATTTTGCTGATTGATTCTGTTTGTTACAGCAATATAGCCTTCTATCATAGTCAATTACAACATAATAAGGATGTGGTTTAAGACTGTAAGAAGGCTCTTGTGCTTGACGATATGCATCTTTAAGCTTATATTGTTTGTTGGAAACTTCGACGAGCTTACCACACCCACTATAAAAAACCTAGGATATATCACTCACATTACACAAACACTTTTGACGTTGCTTAGCATTTTTTCTTATAAATTCTTAGTGCACAATAGTACTTAGGTAGCAGGGCCGACCATATATCATTCAAGTGGCAGGATCGACCATATATCAATCAGGCGGTATAACCGACCATATATCAATCAGGCGGTAGGGCCAACTATATAATAAAACTAACACAAGTGCACTAAGAACTTAGAAACAACTAATGCTTAACGGGAAAACTTAAGAGAAGAGAAAACTTTTATTGATACAAAATACAATTACAATATTACCCACTTACCCCACTACTTTACTATTCTATGCCTCTAAATCTCTCTTTCTCTAGCTAACACTTTTTGACACCATTAGATTGTTGACACATCAAAATCTTAGCCATTTAATATTAATATATAGATTCTTCTAATAAGTAATTCTATATATAATATTAAATATTACAAATATCTAGATTTTTTATATGGATACTTCTACACATCTATAATTTCTATATTATTCTAGAATATTCTATATATATATATATATATATATAAACTAAAATAACTACAGAATTTGCATTGTCCTTAAGACATCTTTTTATTTTCTTCCGTCCTCCTATATCTTAGTGTTCTGTTTTTATTTACGTCATGATTGAATCTTTATGCTTTCCTGATTCTTGCATACCTTTTCGGTCAGATATTCAAGTTTTAGGGTTGCGATTTTATGATGTTGAACAAAATCCTTCCGAACTGTTGGTTTTGCTGTAATTCAGAGAAATTCTGTTCTATTAATTTAGGGTTAAGATTTCTTGCGAGTCACGTAGCGCACATTTTGATGAACATCATAGCAAATTGGTACGTTTGACTTCTTGAAATTAAGTCTGCTATTGGAGTCATAGACCAGAATATACATAGTAATATATCCTCTGCCAGCAGTTGAGTGGTATGCGATATATCTGTAGAGTCTTTTATCTTGATGCATTTGAATCAATTTGTTTGTTCATTGAATCTTAGATTAATCTTTCTTCCCGAACCATCACTGTTTAATTGACTGTAGACAGCAAGTTGTACTGTCTTGTGTTTTGGGCAGGCTGCTCAAACTCAATATTTTTGTTTTCCTCATATAGGCCGTGCACTTTCTGCATTGGGAAAAAAACATGATGCTATTACAGTTTGGGACCAAGGGAAAGGACACGATTTATGGCAGTCTTCTGATCTGAAGCAATTGCTGGAACTGGAAGAGCTTTTGAGAGCCAGTGACAACCCTGTGACTGACAAGATGTTATCGACCCCTGTATCCTTATCTAGACCTCATGTTGATGGGAAGTTAAATGAAACTCTCAAGTACCAAAATGAATGCAATATCTCTAGAGAGCATAGGGATGAAGAGAGGAGTAAGTCATCATCGTCTTTATCTGAGTTACTACCTGACACCAATGGCAAAACATTTGAAACTTTCAAAAATCACATTGTCTTGAGTGCTGGATCCAAGTTAAATATGGAATCCGCTGATGCTTCTGATAAAAACAGCATTTTCCATTATAATTGTTATTTAGGATCAAGTGATCTAACCAGTATGAATCAGAAGCCTTGTTGCCTGAAAAATGGAACTTATAATAATTTTGACACACCAAGTTATGCTTCTGGTTCAGGTGCTGGTCTAAGGAGAAATCAGACAGCACGTCTGACACAAATGATGAAACCAGTGTAGATTTTCTCTTATCAAGGGGTATTGCACAGGTATGTTTTAATTTTTAACACATTTTGTGGTTTTAAACTTGGTGCAGTTATCAATTTCACTTAAAACATGTCATAATTATACTTGACATGCAATTTTTTCCTTCCTTTTTTGCATGTTGATGAAGGAAATTATGCTTGTGCCATATCTACTTTTGACCAGGTATTTTTTTCTTGTCATAGTAGGTTTCTTCTATGTCATGCTGGCCCTCTTGGTCTTTTTCCCTGTCTCTTTTGTCATATAATTTATTTTTAAATGTTGCAGATGCTAAAAGAGGATCCAACCAATCCTGGGTCACTAATATTAAGAGGGACTGCATATGCATTGCAACGAGAGCCTGAAGCTGCTATTGCTGATTTTACCAAGGTACATTTACCTTCGTGATTCAGCTGTCTAAACAAAGTGAATTGTTTTTCTGTGCTTCATATGATTAAATTTTGTTTTAGACAATTCAATCAAAACCATCGGCTGTTGAGGCTTGGAGGAGGAGAGGCCGGGCTCAGGCTACCTTAAGAAAATTTATTGAGGTGAGGGTCTTTTACAAGTTCATTACTATACTGTCGTTGCTGCCAAAGGAAAACTTATTCCTGGTATCTTTCCATAATTGCATGTGATCTTTAGCATGGGTACATTGGCATGGTCAATCAGGACTCTAAGGTTCAGTTAAATCCTTTAGATTATAGGCTGGTTTCCATTCCTCTGCATGTTATGTTAGTGTTTGCACAATTGGATTTTGCAGAGAGAAGTAAGAGATGGAAAATATCACTTTATGGCTGTTATTCATGACCTGAATGATGGAAAGTTTTAGTGCCAGTTGCTACTCTGGGTATTCCATTTGTTTCGTAGATAAAAGAGCTTGATGCTTGTCATAACTGAAGTTGACATCTTTCATTGCATCTTTATGCCAGACGATTGAAGACCTGACCGCAGCATTGGGGTTTGAACCGGATTCAGCTGATATATTACATGAAAGAGACAGCTTCTTTAATCCATCTCTTTGACACTTCAGTTTCCTTGCATTTGTGTTTGCAATCGACTTGCTTAAACATAATCTTTCTGATGTCCTTTCCTTTTCTGCTCCATATAAATGTCAAAAGTAAATAGAGGGTTGGCCTTTGCATTAAGTTGAAACTGCTAAACTTTTTTTTTAGAAGTTGGAAGTCTCATTAAAAACTCTCTTCGTATTCGTTCACATACTAAAAAGTATGTTAACGAACATTGGAAGGAAGAAAAGAGTACCTCAAAGTTTATTAATAATAATACCCAATACAAAAGATAACACCGGATTATCCTCTTATGGTGATATACACCATTACAACAAAATACCTTAACCTCATATAACCTCTTCCAAAAGCACAGTTGAATCACCTATTTCTAATTACACCTCCATCAATAGGATTAAAACAACGCAAGAGAACATAATAAAAAGAGAAGCAACACCTACAAACATATAAACTAAATCAAACCACAATTGAAGAGACGAGATCTATTGGGATTCGTCTTCTTCAGGAACCCAAACCTCTTCCAATGGATCTTTTCTGGTAAATTTTCAACAAATAACGTGTAGCATCCATACTTGTCATTACTGAAGCCCTTTGTGATGGACTCCTTGGTTCCCTCGAGGACACCATCTACTGCAGATTTTCCATTGCAACACCCATTTTTACCAGACACATGAAAACTAGGAGATGTTACAGAAGCTGAATTTGGCATTGACAGTAATGGAGGAACAGGATCACATCCATACTTGTCTAAACCATCCATATGTTGTAACTAATCCACTTTTAACAACAAGATTCTTCCTTGCCATTTCAATGTGCAGAAAAGACTTCAACTTAGCATCAAAAACCATTTTCTGAAGGGCATCCTTAGCAGCAACTGCAAATTCTGCATTTGAAAATAGAGCGAAACCCTTAGGCTTTTCTCCCTTGTAGCTCACTTGCGAAGCTTCAAAACCTGGAAGCCATCTCAATAGATTCTACAGCTCTCTCTCTTTGACATCTTCAGGCAGACCCATAATGAAGATCGTACGAACCACGTCATGATGAGGAGGGTGAGATGACGGAGAAGGCGCAGCTGCAAAGGGCAGAAGAGCTTGGACCGAAGGTCTCTGCTGGAGAAAAAGTTCAGCACCCGGCATGAGAATATAAACTGTTTTTTCTGCACCTTCTGAAAAATCTCTTAGGCAACTGGAATTTCGAATGTTTCAATTCTTGAATGGGACGGTCCTTGAACTTCCGGAAAAACTTAGGTCTGAATTTTCCTTAAACCAGAATGAGAGTCGAGGTTAAACACATCAAAACAGCCATGCTTTAACCAACTCGGTACATGACATAGTTCATGGCGCACGCCCGGCGGTGATGAATGTAGTGACTACCGGCAAAGAAGAGAAGGGTGGAGATGATGAAAAGAGTCCAACAGGTAGAAACTTGAACCTGAGGAAAGATGAAACTACGTAGTTGTCTTTCAACCAAACCCTCAGAAATGGATTAGATCGAGAGAACAACTTGACAGACTCATGACTTGTTCTGTTTTGACAAAACGATCGAAGACTTATTCACAGAGATTGGCCACGGGTCTGGACGTTCGTATAGAAGGGGTTTATTCACGTGTACGGAGAGCCCAGTGGTAAACCGGAGAACTGGCGACGGACGGCGGCGAAAATCGGTGAAAACCAACGTTTAGATCTACGCCGATAGGCTGACTTTCTCTAAAAATTAACCTCGAAAATGGAATCAGAGTGAGGAAACGAACATCCTGTGGCAAAACGACAGCGAACGGATGACGGAGTGTGGCGGCGGACGACAGGCGGCGGTCGGCGGTCGACGGACGGTGATGATTAACGTTGGCGGACGGCGATGGTAAAGATGAAATGATGGATGTAAAATAAAATCACCTTCAACCAAGAGAGAAGCGGGAGCTTCTCTCACTAGGTTTGAAATTCAAAAAATCGATCTATTACATAAGAAAGCCTTAATATCAAATAAAATCATTAGAGAACCTCTAGAGGAAGTGGTGGCAACAAGAGAACTGCCCACGATATCCCTCTTATGGCATCGAACTTTCTTATTATAAAATGAATGATCTTGAAACTGCTTAACTCTAAATTATAAACCCTAAATCTTAAACCAACAATGCTAAATGAAATAATAAGACAAAACTCTTTATTTAAACTAATGATCTAAGAGTTTAGGACATAATGATGAACAGTCATTTTACTCCAATAAAAGAGATGAAGTAAAAATCAGAGGTTGAAGCTATCTTTAAGGTTGATGTAAAAATTGATAGATCTCACCAAGGACCATCTTAAGGGTATAAACCGTCGAAAAACCTATGGATCCTAACTTGAAGCTAAAGAAGGATGAAGGAATTCCAGTTGATAAAGAACACTAACAATGGTTAGTTGGAAAGTTAATTTATCTATCTCATACAAGATCCAATATTGCATTCTCAATAAGCATTGTTAGCTAGAGTATGAATGTTCTGGAAAAACACTTAGAGGCGGTAAACCAAATCCTTAGATATCTCAAAATGATAGTAGGTCATGGTTTAATTTTCAAAAGAAGTGAAAATGAGAGATTGTAATCTATACTGATGCAAGCTAAGCTAGGGAGTTAACCGAAATGAAGTCAACAATTGACAATTGTTGACTTCATTTGGGATACTCGAAAAACCAGTTCAAGATTCAAAGCGATAAAAAATCTACCATAAGCATTGCAAAGAATCTGGTTAAACCACGTTAGAACCAAGCATGTGGGGATTGATAGACATTTTACCTTAGAAAAGGTCAATAATGAGACTATCAAACTTTGTTATGTCCCTACTCAACTATAACTTGTTGATATTCTCACCAAAGATCTTCCAAGGACTAGCTTTGATGGATTCATGTCAAAGATGGAATTATACAACATATACTATCCAGCTTGATCAACATGATATTTAATCAAAGTACATTTTCCCCACACCAACTAGAGCAGCAAAGCTTTCGCCATTATGCCACATTATCTTAGACTACTCCCTTTTGTGTCAAATGCCATCAGCTCAAATTCAGACTACTCCCACGAAGACTACGTTCATCATTACTTAAGGAACAACAAATGAACCATTTCAAGTTGAATTTCATAATATATCATTAAACCCGTGTTAAGGATAAACGACACTACTACAGTAGAACCCCAGGATCAACATAATTTCCTGGATGCTTGGAAACCTAAGTTAACTAAAGATTCCCACACAGGGCTAAAAAACAATCCCAATTTTCTTGAAACCTTACCAACCTTATGTGAGCTTGGAGGTTGCGAGAGTTTCTCACATTCATCAGCAAGCTGTCCAACAAATGATACTGCAAACAATCAATATTTTACCTAGTAAAAAGGTCAACTCATTCTGAAATGTGGAAAAAAAAAATCAACAACTCCATTTTCATAACTGCGGAAAAGGAATGCTTTCTTTTATGTTAATAACTAATAATTGAACTATGAATAGGAAAAAGATAAAGGGTGGGGGGGTGGTTCACTGTAAAAACACAATCAGTCTAATTAACCTAAATTTAGAAAATTTAAACCCAAAATCAATAGTTGGTTAAATTAGTACAAAAATAATTAGCTTATTTTCCAAAAAATAAACCTCTCATGCAACATTCCTAAATCGTTTCACTGTAAGGCCAAATTAGTCAAAAGAAGAAGAAGAAACACAAACAAACCATCTTCTGTCGCGTAAATGTTCTCCGTTTTTTCCCCTCCTCAAGTTGCTGAAGTCGATCCCTAATCTTCTTGCCTTTATCCGGCAATTTAGAGGCAAGGTATTCCAGAATCCGCTCCTGCCGCTTAATCTTCTCTTTCAGCTTAACATCAGTCAAGTTTTCCCGAAATTCCTCTTTGTCTTGATCATCGCCGTCTCCCATTGTATCAGATTTCCTCGGCCGATGTTGTGGCTCCGCCTTGATAACCACCAAGGGCGGCGGTAGCTTTTTTCATCCCTTTATTTGTTCCGTGGATACTCCTATTTCCCACTCTTTTCAGCTTGCAAAGCTATTTAATTTTGTATTTTTATTGATTGATTTATCTACTTATTTAATTATTTAGGTAAACTATATATTTAGGCAACCAATTGTTCTCGTAGTTCTATTTTAGTTATTAAATTATTCTTTTTAAAATTATCATTAAATTTATATTTTTATTTTATTTTAATCACTCATTATTAAAAATTTAACGGTGATACTGATGTATCATCATAAGATAATATTACACAATAATTCTGTTTATTTTTTAAACAATAAGTGACTAAAACACAATAAAAATATAATTTAACAATTGTTTAAATTATACACCATTCTAAGCGTTTGATCTATTACGATCGGTAAAAAAAATTTCCAACCACTCAAAACATGACACCTATCGCGTTTATATTTTTAAAAATGTCAATTAAATCTCAACAACATAAAATTCAAATCACTAAATCTCTAATTTCATCCTCATTATCGTCGTTTTGTCGTCAAATTATCATCATCCATCGTTGTCCATTCACCTACTAACCGGTTATCGTCTTTATCATCGCCTCAATCTCCTATATTCCTAAATCTCTAAATTTTTTTATATATAAATATATAATCTCTTTCCTTAGTCTAAAACTCATCTCAAATAACAAGTCTTTGTGACATAGATAATCTCTTTACTAAAGACTTTACGCTATAAATTATGATTTATTTTCTTAAATGATTTTCGTATGTTGTTATTATATTTTTTTCATAATATTTTTTAATTAAAACCCATTAAAAATAGAAAAAAACAGCCCCGGGGATTTAGATGGGGAATAAATGAACTTTGTCGTTAAACCTGGTATAAGAACAAAAAACACTGCAGCATTGAAGGCTTTAAGGTACACTAATCACATCATACTGATTCTCTCTCTATGTGACTCCTTGTGCTTTCTCCTTGCTTTTCTCTTGGCCATTACTCCTTGAAAAAAGAAGATAAAAAAAAGTGAAAAGCTAAGATAAAGAATCTCTTTTTTTTTTTCCCACTCTTATTGAAAAAACCCAGATTTCAAGTAGGGTTCTTGGCTTACTTTTCAACGTGTAAAGCTTGAACCTCCTTCCATTTCCAAGAGCTCTCATTTTGGGGCTTTTGTTTTCTCAATGGGGAAAAACGTATTAGCTTTGGGTGTTGCTCTTTGGCTTCTTCTTGGAAGTGTGGATGTCAGCTCAGCTCCGACTAGTTCTTCACCTGCAAGTAAGCAATTTCCAAAAAAGCTTGCTTTCTTTTCTTTGATCTGATCTGATCATAATTTACAGCTTAAGTCCTTTGATTTTACATTGTTCTTGCAGAGATCCTTAATGGAGTTTTCTCTAAATCTTTGTCTGCTTCCATGAAATGGTTATGGTCACTCAAAACTACAACCAAAACAGGTTTTTTTTATATAGATCTCTTTAATATTAGAACCCGCATTTTCTTTTTGTTTTTGGTGTCTGATATGGTGATTTGTATGTGATTTATATGTTTACAGCAATTACTGGGCGTTCAATGGTGAAGTTCGAGAGTGGATACACTGTGGAGACAGTGTTTGATGGCAGTAAGCTTGGGATTGAGCCTCACACTGCTGAGGCTTTGCCTAATGGGGAGCTTCTGATTTTGGACTCTGCTAATAGCAACCTGTATAGGATTTCTGCTTCTTTGTCTTTATGTAAGTGGATTTCTTCTTTCTTTGTGAGATTATATAGGTCCAATTACGATCATAGTCTCTTTATTATGCTAAAATTCGGAATTTAATCGATCTACTTTGATGTATCCTAATTCGGTTGTATTATATATTTATATTATATGTTGAACTTGTGTGATTGAATGATAGTTAAGAAATTTTAATGTCATCGGTTGAACGGTAGCGGTTACGAGTGATATCGGTTTGGATCTACTAATAACATTATAAAAGCAGAATGACTAAATTATGGCAAATTAAGATATAGGGGTTAAATCTTAAATTTCAGCATTCTTAGAAGTTATAAGAACTATGTATTATGTCAATACTATATTGCCCTGTACATAGATTTGTTCAATATGTATTTGAAGGATCATATCTCTATATTATCCATGTCGATATATGCATCGGAAGCAAGTGTCGTAGATGGGTGTTTCGAGAAAAAAATCGAAGAGTCGGAGCAACTTAGGTTTTGCCTTTTGCTGCAAATAAGATGGAAACGAACAGATCTGAGTTAATGGAAGCTCAACTTGTTGTGCTATTGCTCAATGTTATTCTTATTAGGTTGTTTTGATGCTTTATCTATTCACTGTGATTCTTAAGCGAATTTCGGTTGGTCCGTGATACTCTTAATCGGCTTAGTGCATGCTTAAAACATCCGGTAAGATCGACCATAAGTAATAAGTATTCACTGATGCAATTCTATAGTTGTGCTATGATTTGATTTTGTCCATGAGAGAAACCTTTTATTGTGATTATTTCATGGGAGAACTGCAGATACTAGACCACGGCTGGTCGCGGGATCTCCCCAAGGATACCCCGGACACATAGATGGGAAGCCCCGAGAGGCGAGGATGAAGCATCCAAAAGGGTTAGCCGTAGATGACAGAGGGAACATTTATATTGCAGATACTATGAACATGGCAATAAGGAAGATAAGTGATGCAGGTTAGCTATGCAAACACCGAGTTATCCGTATCATATGTTCTTTTTTTAAAAGTATGAACGAGAATCTTTCGGTGAGATTAGCAGCCGTCATATGTTATTGATGCGAGCGGAATCATCTTCAGGTGTTACTACAATTGCTGGTGGAAGATTGAGCCGGGGAGGGGGTCATGTAGATGGACCAAGTGAAGATGCAAAGTTTTCTGATGATTTTGATGTGGTCTATGTCGGAAGCAGTTGCTCCCTTCTCGTTATAGATAGAGGAAATCGAGCAATCAGAGAGATTCAACTACACTTCGACGACTGTGCCTATCAGTACGGAAGTGGTTTTCCTCTCGGTAAATTAATCCCCTCGAGTCGATCTTCATTTATTGTCGGTATCGGAGCTTTACACTCTTGATTTTCTTTCGTTTCAGGAATCGCTGTACTTATTGCGGCTGGATTCTTCGGTTACATGCTAGCTCTGCTGCAACGTAGAGTAGGCACCATCATATCGTCCCAAAATGTGAGTGCTATAGCTACGTATACCGGTATCCGACAGTCATACTTGATTCCGAGTAACTTAGTTCGTATTGCATAATTCACCACTGAAATGGCAATGTTTAATTCCATGGATCAGGATTCAGTTGAAGGGAATGCTGCTGTATCGACTCCGTATCAGGAGCCCGTGAAATCCGTCAGGCCACCTTTAATTCCAACCGAAGATGAACACGAGAGGCAAGAAGTTCGGAAACTTGTTCTCAATGGCGGAGTTTCAGTTCTCGAAATCATGGGAGGAGTATTCCCTGGTTTTAGAAAGAAGTCACTGATCCCGCTACCGCAACAACCGATGCATTCGACACATTGGCCTGCACAAGAGAGCTACGTGATACCGGATGAAGACGAGCCCCCACCGATTGATACCCGAGCCCCCACTCCACGGAAGACATATCCTTTCATGTCCAAAGATGCAGAAAAGATCCATCAGTTGTGTCAAAGCCAGGTCTTCCACAGCGGATGGGATGCCGATGTGCAGCATCAGAAACACCTCCAGCAACAGCATCGCTATCAATCATCTGCCCCGCGTACTTACTATGAGCAGAGCCATGAGAAAACCAACGAGGTCGTTTTCAGGGCAGTTCAAGAGCGAGACAGGAAGCGCGAAGCTATGCTAAAAACCGCCACCGACGACGGTGGCAACACCTATGATCATCACAATATTCGCTTCCGATCAAATTCGGGTTTCAGTGATGGCACGCAGAGATAAATTTGGGGTAGAGAAAGTATTATTGTAAATGTTGAGAACTCTAAACTTGTTAGATTATTATATAAATTAATTGATTTAAATTCCGGATTTTGAATTTTTTTTTCTTCTTCTTTAGTTCAAGTTAAATAAAAATCATAAAAATCAATTTAAATTAAAAAGTTAAGTTCAGCTATCAATTTAAATCAAAATGTCAAATTTAAGTACTCAATTGGACAAAAAGTTAGGTACCAAATTGAACTTTAAAACCAAATTCTAATACCAAAATATATATTTACCTTAAATATATATTAGGGTAAAGTACACAAATCTTAACAATAGGGTATTGCTTTATTAAGTCATTCGACTATTAAAAGTTACAAATTATTCTTTGATTATAGAATGTTACTTTATTAAGTCTCTCGACTATTAAACGTTACAAAATGATTACCCGACTATTCATTATGCTTCAAACTCATCTTTTTCCGTTAAAAGTTCGCAGTTGTCTAATCTGAAAGTTAATATGATGTTTGAGACTTTGATTAGATTTTATTATATCACAATTAGCAGATTAATGTTTAGCTCAAAATACCATTTTGTAACTTTTAATAATTGATGAACTCAACAAAATAACACACTATAATCAGAGGATCATTTTGTAACTTTTAATAGTCGAAGGACTTAATAAAATAATAATCTATAGTCATGAGACCATTTGTGTACTTTACCCTATATATTAAATATATTTCATGTTATGTGCCCATGTGGTGTTCTAATTATCTTTCGTACGTTATCAGTAGGAGTAGCAAAAGAAGTGGACCATCATAACGGCCAGGGCTTTGGCCCTCCAAAATATTTGGGAAATTTACATTATACTCCTTATGATTTTTGAAAATTTTAATTAGATTCTCAAAAGCTTTTAGAAACTATCATTGACTAAAATTTTAAATTTTTTTAATTAATCCCTCTAATTTCTTTTGAAAATTCTCATTAATCCTTCAAACTTTTGAAAATTTGAAGTACACACCAATTATTTTTGAAAATTTTAATTAAACTCTAATTTTAAAAAACAAATAAGTTTATTCAAACTATTTTACCAAGATCCATCACTATGGGGGTTCAAAATTACATGACTAGTTATATTCAGCTCGTTCACTTGTTGACTCGGACAAAAAATTTCTCTAATTTATTTTTAGTGTTGAGACGTTCCTTTTAAAAATTTAAGTGTCGATTAAAAAAAATCGGGATTTTGTAAAAACGTTTACAAAATAACACCACAAAAAACACACAAAAGATATGTGTACTTGTGATCTGAAAATGCGAGTATCTAATTTTTGCATGTATCGACTAACTAGTACTCGATATTCACGGATGGACACACATATTGCATTTTTAAAGAACTAGATTTTGAATCTTTGAGTACTCGAAAGGCATAATATCAAAAATAACCCCCACGACGTTTATTAAAATATTCATTTTGGTCCCTATTCTTTTTTGGAGCATTTTGACCCCAAACGTTTCACTCTAGGCCAAAAAGTTCCCTCTATAGATGAAATACTAGTTAACACACAAATAATGTTCCAAAATATGAGTTTTTTAACCTAAAACGAAATATTGAGGGTTAAAATGCCCCCCCAAAAAAAAGACAAAGTGATTATTTTATCGAATGTTAGGGGCATTTTTGCCATAGAATGAAACGTTGGGGGCTAAAATGCTTCAAAAGTATAATAACATGCAAAATAATCTTTTTGATAAATGTTGGAGATTAATTTTTAACATTATGCCTACTTCTATCCACAACTACTGAAAATGTTGTAAAAATCCATTTTTGTCCTAAAATGCTAAAATGACATAATTAGAGACCCATCTCTTGTATTTTTCAAAATAAATAATCATACAACTTTGGCAACCAAAACAAATGAACGAAAGCACCCTCTCAACGGCTACTCTCAAATCTCAATCACCTTTAAAAAAAAGCATATCCATCATGATGTATTTGTTTTGTGTTTTTATTATTTTAATGTTATAGTTGTATATTTGTACATTCATATAAATTGTAAAACATTATTCAGTTAGATTTTAGGGTTTAGATAATCCCGACTATATGGTGTTGCTTTATTGAGTCCTTCGATTATTAAAAGTTACAAAATGATCTCTCAACTATAAGATGTTTTTTTTAAGTATTTTGACTATTAAAAATTATAAAATGTTTAGCTGTGACCTGACTATCCATTGTGTTTCAAACGTTTCACTCTAGGCCAAAATTCAGGTACTAAAACGGACCAAAATTAATAATTTAGATACTAAACATGTTAAGTTTTTAATGACAGAATACTAAAAGGAATTAAAAACTAAACGCTAGATATGATTTAAGAAAAATAAAAGTTAAGGTATTAAAAAGGACCAAAACTGATAATTTAGGTACTAAATGCGTAGTTTACTCTATTATTATTTGTTTTGGTATTACTAATTCGGGTCAACATTGAACTTTATAGGGGCCAAAATGCAACTTTTTAAAATTTTGCATTTACATAATGTTATTGACGCTAAATGAATAATGAATAGCATCCAAAATGACAAGCATAGATGCTCAATTATACATAGCAAAAATAAATGAATAAAAAAACTCAATGACCAGATGAACAAGGGTCAAATTTGGTTTTGGTCCCTCTACTATACTCAAACTTGATATTTAATCCCTGTATTTCCATTTGGCATAAATCCCATATTTCAACTTAGTAGAGGGACGAAAACCGTAATTAGACCTAAATAAATAAATTAGTGAGTGCTTGTGTTAGTTGATTGTTGGTAAGGATCAACCCAACATTTATCCTCCTCTGCAGCATTTTCCCATCTTTTTCGGAACATTTGCATTTCGACGAAGGATTGTCTTCTTACCTGCAAACATTGGGATGGTATAGTTTACACCGATACGGTACGTTACGTACGTGCATACATACATACATAAATGCATATATATATAGATATGTCTAAAGCTATGTTTAAGTGGCCTTACTTCGGGTCTGTTGTCGACTTTACGGGATTCGGATGGTGCCTGCAAATTCAAAGATTAATGGTTTTAGAAATCGTTAGACTTTTACGACAAGCAAATTCAAGTTTGGTAAACAGACTGGTGATTCCGATTTAGTTAAGTGCTCCCTCCGAGTAATATTAAGTTCCGTGGAATTCAACTGCATCGTCAAGAAGATAACAGACGAACGGAGATTAGTAATGAAATCCGATTTGCATATGTCGGGTAATATCAGCTAGACCTAAGATAAGACCCTTCCAATCAAATGGTTCCGATGAAATACTTGCCTCGTTTTCATCCTTGACGCCGAGGGTAGGAAGACCGAAATGAACTACGTACTGAGCATCAACGACACCGACATTTTTCATACGATCGCCCTGAATGAGGGTCAAATATCAGTGGAATGCCAACAAGAATCGGAAAAGGATGCTATCTGGTTTGGAAATTTTACCTGCGCACAATAACCGAGCTGCACATCGAGACCCCAAGCATGGATCAAATCATTCTGTAGGGCAATGGAAGATCAGTAAATGGTTCGTGTAAAAACGAAAATGGTGCAGTTCGGTACACAACTACACAAGTAGTGTACATGAAGCAATGATATTCAAATAGGCAATACGAAAAGTACTTCACACCTGGATCATATACCACACACAGCGCCAGGCGGCTCTAGAGAATACGGGGGCCATCATTTCCACCCAACTGCAAAGCATAACGAATTAACCGCTTAAGAATAACCGATGCAATAGGTTGTCGCTATATGAAAGGAGCCATGAAGTTGGTAGTAGTTTACCCTATGCACGGAGGAGCAGTGCTGCGACCATCACACCTTCCGCTGCCTTTAAACTTGTATATCCTTCTGTTCAAACATGGATCGTAAGTGTTGTAACGAGCAAGATTAAAATTACATCATGTCATAACGAAGTTTTAGCTCTGAATTTCCCGCTCACCTGTGCACTCTCGAATTCCTTTTGAGTGCGGTGATCTGATGATGAACTCGGGATCAAGTGCTGGTTGTGATATCTCAAGTCCCTCATCTCTAACGATAGACAAATATCTACACAAGGTTTTTAATATGATTGAAGCACCGTTTGAAACGAATCATCAACGGAAACAGCGGTACATGTGTTTGCATGATTGTGAATTCAGACATTGTTACAGTGACATGTACACGTACTGGATTGGATCGAAGTTATCTACTCCCAGGTCCTCATCCCAGAGGAATATATAATTGTATTGAGCGACTATGTCTGGATGCAAGAAACGTTTGGCAAACCACCTACAGCAAAATACGATAGAAGCCGATTAGCATTAATAAGAAGCATTTGGCAAAGATAAACATCTCGGTAAAAACAATGTTACCATTTTGTTTGATTCACTGCAGACACATGTATGGCCCGATCACTCCATTTGAAATCTCGCCATTCATCCACAATACCGTCGTAGTGAAACAGCATCACGACAAAATCTCTCGCGGGAAACTGCATGGGAATGATATTTATTAAGCTTAAATATAATAAGATATTTGTGAGCCTAAAGAAAAGCATAGGGGAACTCAAGGCACCTTTTTAACAATTTGATCCACAATTTCCTTTTGCTTAATTCCGACAGCAATGGCCAACAAGTTTGAAGATGGCTCGGGAATGGCCTGAAATCGCAGTATAATGCACAGAAGACAACCAAATAAGATCAGCCGACACCACGTCTAATTCTAGAATTTTTTTATATATCGATAGTACGTTGTTTACACTGTCATGCCATAATGGTTGCATTTGCAAGTTTGTTGTTTTGACCACAATGCCTTGAGGTAACGCCTCACTCCCCGGAGGCCTGCATTGAATCTACAAGGGAAATGAAACTATTTCGGGACGGAGAACATTTCAAAAGATTTACGAGCTCTTCTAAAAGCAAAGTTCTTTCCCCTAAAGACAACCGACCTGGCACGTATCGGATTTTGAATTCTGAAGAAGATTTATCACATCCCAACTTGATAATCTCTGTACACAGATTTAAAGATGTTCGAATGAAAGGCATCCATGAATAACAAAAGATCAAACTTCAACGAGAAATTCGAAAAGAAGAAATAC